CATTGGTGAATGCCACAAATTCTCCTAAATCACTCGTACGCACAACTTAAGAACAAATCTGTGCGTACGAACGGTTCTTGCATGAGGCCCAATGTGGGTCAAATAGCTAGAATGTGTTCATACATGAGCTTTACACGCTAACTAACAATTTCCATTTAACCCTTTTTTCTTTCCTTTCAGCTGTAGATTTCTTTAACCAGATCAACATGCTGTATGGCACCATTACTGATTTTTGTACAGAGGAAAGCTGTCCGGTCATGTCTGCTGGGCCAAAGTAAGTGCAACACTAAGAGCAGCAGAATCCACCTTCCAGACATGCACTCTGTTCATTAACCAGGCAGTAGTCTAAAAAAAAACACTTGCCTTCATTATAAAACACTATTTAAATCATGTCAACTCCTATGCTGTACTAAAACCCAGTGAGCACAAACTTGTTTTAAGATGAGACTTAAAAATGTAAAAACCTGTCTGATATGAGAAGGCAGCTGGTTCCACAGTTCAGGACCTGATCGCCTCTGTGGACTAGCCTGGACCTCCAGTACAATTAAAGCAAATGATTATTAGCTCTAAGGGATCATGGAGGACACATAAAGCTGCAGGAGGTCAGACAGGTTTTTTTTTGTCACTTCAGTAGAAAACGAAACTAAATATTAGTTTATTTAGTTTATTTCTTCATCATCAGTGACCTTTTTTTTAAGTGAAGAGAAAATAGAGACAGAGAGAGAAGTGATTAGAAAGATAGATGCAGTTGTTAGAGGCTGGCCTGACTTAAACCATCATGCAGAGTTACATTCATCCAGTTGGGAGGTAATAAAAGCCCGAATCATGAATTGAAAGTCATTAAAGGATAAAAACAATTTCACTTTAAAGCCTCGATTTATAAAGAATGTCTTTACTCCCTAACTAATCTGTTTCTCAGGGTTAAAGTTTAAACCAGGGGTGGGCAATCCTGGTCCTGGAGGGCCGCAGCCCTGCATGTTTTACTTGTTTCTCTGCTCCAACACACCTGATATGAAGGAATAGATGATT